TCTCCCTCTGCCTGTGTCTCTGCCTCTCTCTGTGTCTCTCATGAATAAATTAATAAAATCTTAAACAAAGAGAAAGATCTCAGAGAAAATATTTAATACTCTGTGATTTAAGTATTGTCATAACTTTTAGTATAAAAATTTAATTCATTTTACATAGCTCAAATAGCAAATCAATGATTTAGGCTCTTGTGTTAGATGGTGCTATCTCAAAAAACTGCTAGTGTGTTCTAGTTCAGTTAGATACAGGAAATACCCAGACCAAAAACAAAATTCAATATTTTAGAAACTATAATTACTGAATAAGGAAATTCTTAATTGTAAGGGAATTATTCTTTCTTATGTGACAAAGAACTTAGGTGACATCTGTACTGTAGAGGTTACAGAATTTTCATCTCCCAAAGTCTAATTTTATAGGTATATAATTTGAATCCCAGTACATGGGCATGTAACCCAATATAGTCCACCAGATTATTGGCAGGTCAGGAAAAAACTGAAGCTGTCTACTGTTTGGTTCTCAAAGCCACTGGTCTTCAAATGTTTTGGTTCTTGGGCCACATAATGGAAACTTGAAAAACTATTCTTCTTGCATATTTTAAATTGATATCTAATTTTAAACCATAACTGTAAATAAGTTTATTTCTTATTTTAGGAGATTAAAAATGTAAATTTTATGAGATAGAGTAGGAGAAGAATCATTGATGATAAGAATAAATATTTTAATTGATTCCATGAAGTTTTAAGAATTTTATTGCATAAACCACATTGATATAAATCACATAAATAGTTATCTGTGGACTTTACTTGATTTTCCCAATAATCTAGAAGTCACACAGAATAACCTAGTTACATTTAAAATAACAAATCATACTGCTTTGTACTACTACAGCTTTTCTCAACTCACAAGACCCCAGCAAGGGCTCAAGCACCTTGTGTCTAACGCCAACCTTCACCTTAATCAGAAATATGTGCATGATAAAGCAAGACAAAATTTAAGGAGCCTTGATAAATTAATTCTTAGAGTCTTTTCTGAAGCAAGATACAATTTAATTGTGTGCATGGGTCTATCAGAAGCCCGGAGTTTGTCACACACCAGTATGCATTATATGCTATGATTTGTGATGGGTGACAGACAAAAAGTATTTCATAAATGAGAGAAGAACCATGGTGAATGCAGGCTGTTTTTAAACTTCAGGTGAAAGTTGAAGATCTGGAAATTTATTCCCTTAAAATTGACTGTTCATGAGTACCTTCAGGTCCATGCACATAGTTTGAAGACCAAGCTAAGCTAAACTCATTGCCTCCGATTTACATGAGAGAAAATAAGGCTTACCATTGCAATTTTCCAGACCTCTGCAAAAGATGTCTGCTGTTGGATCCTACTGTCTGTAGTCTTGCTAAACTACCTTATCAGCAGGAATGGATACCTGCGGTCAAGAAATTTTGCCAAAGGATCTCAAATTATTAGAAAGGGCTTACTTTTAATCATGGGACTTATGCAGTATATATGACAGCCTGGAATACATAATTTTTGTACCATTCCCCTCCTTTATACAAAAAATATATTTTCAGTTACAATTATGAAATTAAATATATGGCAACAATAGCCTATTTGTATTTGTTCTAAAATGTTTTTAATTAGGCAAATATAACACAAAAATGGGGGGGGCAATGCATTGATAATTTTTAACATTAATGTTTTTTTGAAATAAAATGAAAAGGTTTGAAAAAAAGAAAAGGTTTGTATTTTGCATCTGTTGCAGTTATGAATAATAATAGCATTGTAGCTTCCAGTTTTTCAGCCTTTTGCAAATTTGTCAATGGTTTCATCAAAATTAACCTTCTTTATATATTCATGTTCAATAGAGCTAGATTTGTAGATACAGTTTGATTCACAGTTGATTGAAAAATACTTATTAATTTTAGTTTTGAAAATTTCTTTCACACTAGGCAATGATTATACAAAGAAGACAAACTCATCAGGATACACTTGGCAGAGATTTATAAAAATTACATTTCATGATAAATTCCAGGAATTGCAGTAATGCTTATGGTTTTGTTCCTGTGGGATCCATTCTAGAGACTTTCAGATGTTCCTGTGTCAAACATTCCACTAAACTATCTTCATAAAATTAATCAAAGATTTCCCTTATATTATATTTGGTAAAAACTTCTGAAATTTGTTTCCTTCTACTAAATGCAGGAATAAAATAAATAAAAAAATAAAAACAGAGATAATGTCTGTATGTAGTGAATATGGATACTATTTGAGCAATTGTATTAGAATGAGTAACTCGAGTTCCGTTCCTTTATCATCACAGTAGTCACTGTGCTTTTTTGTTTATTCCAAATCTACTATTTAAATGCAAAAACAATATGACGTAAGAGATTTTATGTTTTTGTTTTTTGTTTTTTAATCCATTTATTTATTCATGAGAGACGCAGAGAGACAGAGAGAGAGGCAGAGGGAGAAGCAGGCTCTCTTTAGGGAGTCTGATGCAGGACTTGATCCCAAAACCTTGACATCACGCCCTGAGCCAAAGGCAGGTGCTTAACCACTGAGCCAACCAGGCGTCCCAGTAAGGGATTTTAACTAAAAGATAAAATCATGACTCTTATACAAGTATAAAATGAACACCTGTCAAAGATTTTATTTTAGTAGAGAACTGTGAGATATTAAAATTGGCTCCTAGGAGAATCCAAACAGAAGATATTCTCACCTATTTTTCCTTCCCATAAAATGATCTGCAAAATATATATTTCTTGTCAATACATGGTAGACTTAAATCTGTCTTGGTGGGATTCAATGAGGGCCTGAGTCAGGCATCAACTTGGACATCAGATGAAATGTGTGCATTTGGGTCACAAAACCTGGGGATGTGTAGTTAGAGGCATTAGTACATGCAAGGACAGATTCATTAACCAGCTATCATATTAACTTGTTTAAACAAATCAATGGATTTTTATTCCTGTTTTCTTTTGCCAGCCTCTTACCAGTGTACGTTAAATAAAAGAGCAAGGCAAACTCTAACTATGCAAGATTTCTGAAAGAACAGACTTGGGAAGATTTAGAAATTTGAATTAAAGTCAAAAATACACTCAGAGCAAGACACTCTGGTTTTATGATGAACAATACGTCTCAAAAATTTTTTTACTTCCTTTGTTCCAAATATTGTTAGACCTTATTCATTATGTTTAGCTCATCTGCCTAACTCACCTTCATGGTCTCAACTATTATTATTATAATTAAAAAACTTTTTTTGACAATATTTTAAAATGCCCTCCCTTTTACCCTTTTTAGCTATTGTATTTATACCTCTTACATGTGGGAGAATTCCTTCATTTCTTTCCATAGGCGCTTTTGAAAAGAATCAGGTGAACATTGGATCTCAGCCTGGATAGAAACTCCAAAGTTGCAGGGCTTGGGAGCAGGTCCCTTGTATGTTATCACTCACAGAGACAGCTGAAGGAAGTTCAGTTAGGCCTAACACTGTGATCCTCCGCCAAATCACTTGCAGATGTGAACTGTTAACTCCCCAAATTTTGACCAAGAGAAGCAAGGTTGTTGGATATACTCCTGTTAGGTATAATACCACCATGAATTTCCTTTTCTCTAAGAAAAGGGGAAGTCAAAGGAGGATATGTGTAGGATTCTAGAACCGTAAGGCCATCTAGGTTCAGAGCTGGTTATGTAAGATATTGTATTAGGACCTGACCATGAAAACCTCTAAAAGAATGTATGATATTGGTTTGGGTTTGTTTTTTATTTTCCATGTAGGGCACTCTACCTTGACTGAGAAAGGGTTTAATGTGGCTTGTATGAGAAAGCAAAATTATATAAAAGATAATAGAAAGTGAAGAAAGTACTTACTGTAGTTAGGGCAAGTAGATTCCTTCTGTTTTAATTGCCAGGAAAATACTTTGATAATAAAGGAGGCATTAATTTCATGAATATTTACCTAACTCTCACTAAATTCCAAGAACTCTTATAAATGTTTTAGGAAAAATAACTTAATCCACAAAATAACATTTTGAGGTTAAGTTTTTTTTTTAACATACCATAATTTTACAAGGGAGGAAGCTGAGTCACAGTGAGATGAAGAAATTTGCCAAGTCATGCCATGAAATGCCTACAACAATCAGGGCTTGATCGGAGAAAAAGAAGCACTGTGAGTGACACAGAGAAAGGACTTTTTTATAAGGATTAAGCCCACTGCATGTAAGGGCTGGGTAAGCTGTCTTTCTGAGTCTCTTGCCTCCGTTTCTGGTGCTGGGCTTGAAGTCAGCAAGATCAACAGTCAGAAAGGAACACTGATCTGAAACAAAGGGAAGAAATACCAACTAGAAGGGTACGTTTCTCTTTTTCACTACCCCTGATCTCGGTGGTGCAGGCTTCCTGCAGGATGAGCTGGCGCCTTCTCCAGGTTGCACTCCCATTTGTCCCAGGATTTGAAGAAGCTGAAGGAGGCAGGAGGAGCTACAGTCCTGGCTGTTGGCCCATATCAACAAGTTGAGTCAGGAGATGTACCGCAAATGGGTATGAGACCGAAGTTCCTACTCTACCATGAACTTGAGATTGTAACTAGATACATCCTATGGAGATGTTGGAAGATAGTTCTAACATAGTCATACGGGTGCAGGGCAAAGCCACAATGAAAAGCTGGGATTTGAACCCAGGAAATCTGGCCCCTGAGTCTATATTCTTAGCAGCTTCACATTCCCACCTCTCTCTTCATGCGGGTTCTTCAAGATCCATTAGGATGCATCCAGATCAAGGTCTGGAAGTGTCCTAGATAAATGAAACTACATGCACAAATACTAAGCAAATTGCAGGAAGTGACAAAGACCTCTTAGGAATTCCATTTTGCTTGAACGTATTATGAACGAAGGAGAGCGTAGCAGATAAGCTGGAGAAGCTGATAGGATCGGGATATTTGGTGTCTGTCCTCTAGATGATAGAAAGTTTTTGCTATTCTAAATATTACCTTTATTTTTACTCATAGGTTCCGAACAGAGGCTGCAGCCAAATTTGGTGTTATTTTTTTCTTATGGAATATCGTGTACAAAGTCGTCCATCTTCAGGAAATCAGGTCCAATTACTCTGGCTTTAAAGATGCTACTGATTTTCTTGAAAGTCATCAAAACTTCAGCATTACAGAGTTTGTTAAAAAAAATGGTTTTTACCTCAACAATAGAACTCTGTTGGAATGTAACTTTTTTGGAAAGCCATGTGGTCCACAGGTAACACTTTGATGTTTCTGCAAAGATCATCAACATAAGAAACTACTGTAACTGTACTGTTTCATACTGAGATAAAGTTTACTTTCATGGGGAATCAATCTAAATTTGCTCAAAGATTATGTTCCATTAGCTCAGCCTTATGACAGCAGGGGGCGTGGAATATACATGAGACATATTCCTTTTTCCAAGTGGTTGGATAAGAAAAAATAGAGAACAGAAATCTTTGATTACCTTTACTTCAGGACCATCTCAAAAAAAAAAAAAAACAATTTTAACCCAAGGGAATATTTTAATATTTCCCATTCTTTGATAACATATGCCAAGACAGCATTTTTATTATAATGAAGGAGCCAACATTCAAGGTTTGTTTTTCTTTTTGCTTGGAGGCAGTAGAAAATGAGCAGGTGCTGGCATTTGACTATGTAACTATATATATATATATACTTATATTTACTTATATATATTTACTTATATACTTATATATATATTTACTTATATATTATATTTACTTATATATATTTATTTTATTTTTTTATAAATCTATTATAAATATATTATAAACTATATATATTTCTCTAATCACTCATAACATCCTGTTTTTATACTTAGTGTAATTTACATTTAAGATAGTGTTGGCTAAAAAAAAAAAAAAAAAAGATAGTGTTGGCTATACCTGGAAACTATTAGCAAAGGGTATGTAGGCACTTCGACACCCTGTTTCTTGTATCAGCAATTCTGTAGCATGTGTTGTTAAGTGATCCCAAGCAAACTTCATGAATTCATGATTCTGGGAAACAATTCCTTATCCTTCTGGTAGCCTTCCTTAGTGCACAGAAAACAGAAAAAAAAAAATGCTTGAGAGACCTCTGACAGAGATGAAGCCCTGTTCCAAACTCTTAATTTAGAGAAGTTCTTCTATGTTGCTTGTTATTTACCAACCAACATGTTTATTTTTTGTTTTTTTTTTAAGATTTTATTTATTTATTCATGAAAGGCACAGAGAGACATAGGTAGAGGGAGGAGCAGACTCCCTGCGGGGAGCCTGAAGCCTGATGTGGGGACTCCATCCTGGAACTCCGGGCTCATGCACTGAGCCGGAGGCAGAAGCTCAACCACTGAGCCCACCAAGGCATCCCTCAACCAACTTGTCACCAAAAAATTTTGTATTAGACATGTATCAGACGGGAATTTTTCAGCTGCAAATTACAGAAACCCACCTCTGGAAGCTAAAGAGTAAAAAGAATGCATTAGTGTAATCAACAGAGAACTCTTGAGAGTAGGACTGGCTTCAGAAAAGCTTCAACCAAGGATCTTTGACAACCTCATTAACATTCTCTTGACTCACATTGATTTTTTCCTGTATGAATTCTCCTCCCAGAGCCATGATGACTGCTGACAACCCTAGCCTCTTATTATCATAGGTTAACACTCCAGTATCCTCTCAATAATCCCATGCAAAACTGATTAGGTTTACTTAGGACACATGTCAATTCCTAAACCAATCACTGAGGTGAGAGTGGGGTATTCAGATTGACCCAGTTTTTATCTTATGCTCACCTTTGTAGTATCCAGGTTTGGAGGAAAAGGATCACCAAAAAAGCAGAACAATGTGATTGGCTGCCCCAACATGGTGGGGGGGAGGGGGTAAGCTCCTCAAGAGAGGATGTGAGAGCCTTCTCCATAGGTAAGAACACGTTTCCATGAATCCTTACTAAACATAAAACAAATAACTTTTTTAAACATTTTAATTTACATAAAAAAGTCTTCATTAATCACAAATAAATTAACAAGTGCATATTAAAAAAAAACTATTAATGAACACAATCCAGAATCACTGTTATCTATTCTTCTGATATTTCTGCATTCTCATTAGACAGATGTCTATTTAAAAAAAAAAAGAGCAATCTAAACTTCAAAAAATGACCAAAATATCTAACTAATTGCATTTCGTTTGGTTCATTTTCTTTTCTTTTCTTTTTTTTTTTTTTGGTTCATTTTCATATTGGAGGACTTCGCACATGTATTCACTGAATATGGAAATTGTTTTACTTTTAATCATGGTGAAAATATTCAAGCAAAGGAAAAAGTGAGTGTCTCTGGAAGAGGCTTAAGCTTGCTCTTCAATGTCAATCAGGTATTGAATTTTCTTAAACCTAGTCAGGGGTCAAGACAAACAAGTATGTGCAGATGTTTCAAGAGATTTGATCAAAATATTTTGCCCTATCAAACTGTTCTCACAGTTGGTATTATTTCAGTTTTTGTTAATGTAGTGTGGAGTCCCATAGATGCAAACATTGACTTTACAGATTAAAAAGATCAAAATTTAGAGGCATAACCTGGACTTTTTCAACTATACTATTAGCTGTCATTTTTGTGACTCCAGAAATGTTTATGCCACAAAATCATGAAACCAGAGGTTTCCAAATTCCAATGTATGTAGTTAATTTAAAATGGCTATATCTATTTTAAGAATATGTTAGAAAGATTTTTATGTAAAAAAAGGCAATATGTTTTAGAGAGGAGTCATACATGCACACTTGACAAGCCATGGAATCTATAGTCTGAAGGACGATTTAAAAAATACTCGTTATATAAAAAATGTTGTATAAATTGATTTTGTTTAAGCCTAACTTCTGCAAATTTGTAATTGGTCCAAGAAGTCTAAGTATGTAGGCCTGAGAGGCAGATGTCCAGACACCAGAGGAATACAGCAGTTGGCATCTTCAAGGGTACCTGGTATAGCTCCCTACCAAGGTTGATTCTCATGTTCTATCTTATACAACTGTTTCTAGTATTATACATTTAGAGATATATGCTTCATTATTTTGGTTTTATAAATGAAGATTCTGAAATGCTGATAAATTAAGCATCCAAAATCATACAATTAATGCACAGGGGAGAAATAAACCTAGTTACCTTAAATTCCATTGAACTATCCTACCTCCCAATCCAAGTGAATGGGGCTGTTGGCTACTTTCAAAGAATTTTTCTTTTAAAGTATGTTTCATAATTTCTCTTGTACCCCATTCATTACTTTTGCTCAAACACAGTACTGCACAGTGTAATGCATGTATATGTATTTGATTTTATATATAAATATATATTTTTTTACCTGAACATATGTTTGACTAATATTTCCAGGTCATTTAAATATTAGTCTTATAGTCTGTTCAAATATTATATCATGAATTTTACAAGCTGGAAATTCCCAAATATTTTTAGAATGCAATAAAAACCTGCAAATGCAAAATAATATTCCATAAGTAAATGGCTCTTAAATACTTGTCCAGACTAGCTGGTTGAGTGTTTCTTAAAGAGTCATAACAGACTCAGGAGAAATAGGTTCCTGAGTTACAAATGGAATATTAAGCATGTTTATTAAATATAATTACATATGCAGTTGACCCATTTGAAGGAAAAATCATCATATTCCCAAGCCCGTTCTTTCCCCTTATTGTCTGAAATTACAGCTCTAGACAGTCCTCGACTTAACAATGTCTCCTCTTACAATGTATTGACTTTACAATGATGTAAAACTGATCTGCATGCAGTCAAAGTCATACTTCAAGTTTTGAATTTGCATCTTTTCTTGGGCCAGTGATATGTGGTATCACACTCTCTCATGATGTTGGGCAGCAGGAGTTCCCAGCCAGCCAGGCAATCACCAGCGTAAATAACTGATACACTTACAATCATACTGCCCCATACAGCCATTCTGGTTCTCACTTTCAGTTCCATTTTCAATAAATTACATGAGATATTCAACATTTTATTATAAAATAGGCTTTGTGTTAGATTATTTTGCCCAAGTGTAGGCTAAAGTGAATGTTCTAAGCATGTTTAAGGTAGGCTAGGCTAAGCTATGATGTTCGGTAAGTTAGGCATATCAGATGCATTTTTGATTTATATTTTCATCTTACAATGGATTATCCAGATGCAACCTCCTTGTAACTCAAGGAATATCTTTAATAACAAAGTTCAGTGTTAATTTTTTTCAACTGGCATAGAATTTATAGAAGAGCACTGTTAAAGACGTAGTGTAAGTCTTCATCTTAGGGGGAATTGAATTTCAATTTTAAATAAGGCCAGATTTTAATCGCAAGGAGAAGAAAGGAGCCAAATGATTTTCTAAAACAAATGAAGCAAAAAGAACAACCAAGAAAGAAGCAACTAAAAGGCAACAAGGTAAAGAGAGGGCCCCTAGGGAAACAGACCATTAACAGTTATGGCAAGTACTACAGTATTCATCTAAGGCAAGAGTAATCTATGGAAACTGTTGACACCTTGAACATGTGATTCAACCATGAAAAGTATGTCTAAGCTGTTTAATTTTCAGTTTTTATATAAAAAGAAATTGAACCGTGATATGAAATATTTGATTTTAAGTCAGTCAAATGCCATCACAAGGTAATAAAACTAAATCTTAAATTTGTGTAGAATTGATATCAATTTGTATTTTGGGAAAATTTTTGTTTGTTTGTTTATTTCAGGGGGAATTCACTGATGACCCAGCCCTTGGCTTTGTTGATGCTGGAATCATCTTTGTTATCCATTCACCAAAGAAGGTGCCACAGATTGATGGTTTAGGCTTGTCGTCACCTGTGGGGATGCACGCACGGGTAACAATCCGCCAAGTCAAGGTAAATAATATGTGCAAGGTGTAGTGTGAGGGAATCAGGTAGGTTAATAAATGTATATACACAGAAATAATATTTCCACTAGAAACCCCTTTCTGCCATGCCTTTAGAAGACCTATGGAAATTCTATAGTTAGTTGCATTTCACATTCTTTCTCATTACTAGGAGGTCCATATGTAGTAAAATCAGTGAATTCACACATACAATGTAAGTGAAAGCTGGGAAACCTGACAAATTCAAAGTAACTTTAAATTGCATTAGAAATGGAAATGGTCAGTAAATACGAAGAGACCCCTAAGTTGTTGAGCTGTGCATTTTCCCAATGAGATGTCCTGGGAAGAAGAAAAATAAGTGGGAAGAAGAGGAATCTTAGAATCAGGCATGTCTGGCAGATTTCCATTTGCCAGCCATTTGCCTGCAATCTCCTTAATTAGCTTCCTGAAATTCCATCTCCTCCCTCTGATAAAGATAATATCTCTTTTTCCTAGTTATTGTAATAACTATGATGTTTAAGTGAAATAACATAAAGCACTTACCAGGGTGTCTAGGTGGCTCAGTTGGTTAAACATCTAACTCTTGATTTCAGCCCAAGTCATGATCTCAGGGTCCTGAGATCAAGCGCCATGTTGGGCTCTGCACTCAGCAAGGAGTCTGCTTGGGGTTCTCTCTCTCCCTCTCCCTCTGCCCCTTCCCCTGTGCGGTCTCTCTCAAATGGATAAATAAAATCTTTATTTTTTAAAAAAGATTTTATTTATTTAATAGAGAAAGAGAGAGAAAGATAGAGAGCACAAGCAAGAGGAGTGGCAGTGGGAGAGGAAGAAGGAGATTCCCCACTGAGTAGGGAACCCAAAGTGGGGCTCAATTCCAGGACCTCAGGATCATGACCTGAGCCAATCATGTTTTTTTTTTTAATTTTTATTTATTTATGATAGTGAGAGAGAGAGAGAGAGAGAGAGAGGCAGACATAGGCAGAGGGAGAAGCAGGCTCCATGCACTGGGAGCCCGACGTGGGATTCGATCCTGGGTCTCCAGGATCACGCCCTGAGCCAAAGGCAGGCGCCAAACTGCTGCGCCACCCAGGGATCCCTGAGCCAATCATGCTTAACTGACGTACCCCCCAAGAAACCTCAAATGGATAAATAAAATCATTTTAAAATAAAATAAAACACTTCATATTGTCTGGCACATAATAAGTGCTCAATAAAATATTTTTGGTGTTTAATTTTGGTTGCTGTTTTGTGGGTGGACTGATCAATATGTCAACATTATTTCCATAAATGATACTATTTTTTCTTACATGAGTTAACTTTTAGAGCAGTCTGAATTTATTGATTCATTTTAGGTACAGAACATTTAGGATATGTGTTAAAGGCACTGCTATATTTACCTTCAGGGATTTTCAGATTAATAGATTAAGTAACATGGGAAAATGTAGACAAAAAAGAAAGAAAGAAAGAAAGAAAGAAAGAAAGAAAGAAAGAAAGAAAGAAAGAACTCTGAGAGAAAAAAAAATGTATATTAGCTTCTCTTCTTGGGATGCAAAGGTGTGGATTGACTCAGATAAACCTCCTGAACTAGGTGTTTATTTTCTCTTAAGACAGTTCATCAAGAACACCCTTGGGGAGAATGCAACCCTAACATCAAGCTACAGAATTTTAGTACTTACAGCACTTCTGGTTGCTTGAAGGAATGCAAAGCTCAGCACATACAAGAGCAATGTGGATGCATACCTTATCTGCTTCCTGGTAAATAAAGAATGACAAACTTCCTCTTATTTAATTATTTTTTAATTAATTGGAATCATGGGAAATAACGTCATGAAATTGTTTTCCATTCTTATCAAAGCTATGCCAGAAAGTCATCTACTTGACAAATACAACCTCAACAGACAGATATTAAATCATGGAGTCATAGGAGAGATTTCCGGAGAAGAAAATTGAGCCAGTCTCCAATTCTTATTTTCAGGATGTAAAACTGGGTGCTCTTCAATATCTCAAACTAATCATCACAATTTTCTCAATTCAAAAGAAAAATTAGATTCTCTATATAAATCTTAGTCAACCCTGAATATTTCATTTTGGGATATTCTTTTATCTGTGGTCAGAAAAACAACCCCAGGCTCCCTTTGCATACAATTTGAAACATTTCCAGGTCCATGGATATGGGAAGCAGGCACTGACCGAGCAGTGGAGCAGGATGGATAAGAGATAGACTCTGACTTAGGCTCCTCATCTCAACTACACAATTTCTCCTCTCCATGACCTTAAACTAAACCTCTTTGTAGTTCCTGTATTTAAAATGGGGAGAGGGATCCCTGGGTGGCTCAGCGGTTTAGCGCCTGCCTTTGGCCCAGGGCGTGATCCTGGAGTCCTGGGATCGAGTCCCCCGTCGGGCTCCCTGCATGGAGCCTGCTTCTCCCTCCTCCTGTGTCTCTGCCTCTCTCTCTCTCTCTCTCTCTGTCTCTGTCTCTCTCTCTCTCATAAATAAATGAATAAATAAATCTTTAAAAAAAATAAAATAAAATGGGGAGAATACTGACAGTGCCCTACCTTATAGGATTGTCATAAGGATGAAAGGAGTATGTAAGTGGTTTAAAACATACTTGATACAGAATACATTCTATATAAGCATCTATTATTTTTATTCAGATTTGCCTCATCCCTTTTCTCCAGTAAATTTATAAGGAAATGTAGAGTGCATTAAGGAGATACCAGTTTGGCTCTTTAAATTTTTCTTCCCCATGTATATTTTCTTTAGATATTAGCATGTTTTTATAGGTTTTGTTTTGTTTTGTGGAAGAGCGGATGGATGGATGGCTGGATGGACGGATGGATGAAAGGTATTTTTGTCCTTACATCACTTATTTCATAAAATGTAAAGTCTCTATACTTATTTTTTTTAAGGAAATGGGACAGAGTGTGACCTACAAAAGTTTTACAACTGTGTTTCTCCTACACTTGGTAAGTGATTTAATGCAATTCTTTATTCTCAGCAGTTACATGACAGTTACATGTTCAGAGTTATACAAGTCATTAAATCATACTATGGCTTAGTCCAGAAATGAAATAGAATAGAGACTGCAAAAGAGGGAGTTTTTTAGTGTTTTTAAAATTAAGAACAAAAAACAATTAAGAACAGTAGCTTTTAGAGACATAGACAGTAAAACAAAACAAAACCCTCTGATTTAAAGATGCATCTGAATTAAAGATTTTCTGTGACAAAGTAACAGCAAGAGGGTTTTGATTTTTATTTCTAGATTTTATTGTGTTTTGAATTTTATTTTTTTATTTTATTTTTTATTTTTTATTTTTATTTATTTATGATAGTCACAGAGAGAGAGAGAGGCAGAGACACAGGCAGAGGGAGAAGCAGGCTCCCTGCACTGGGAGCCCGATGTGGGTTTTGAATTTTATATTTTGTATAATCAAAATAGCTTTTTTTTTTCTTATTGTGTAAAGCATGCTTCTTGTGACTAGTTCAAACATTTCAGAACAGAGAAGAATCTTGTGGAAATCAGTAGAAGTTGCAGCACTCTGAGAATTACTGTCATTATTTAGGTGACCATTCTTTTGTTTATTCATTTCATTATACATATATTATATATAAATGCATATATTAAAAATTATGCAAATGACATCAAACCATACATGCCGCATTTACTGGGGACAACTTCTTCTTAAGCAACATCTTTTTTGCTTTCATATTGTTTAACTTAACACCCAACCAATGTTAACACTCTAGCATATTTTACCTTTATTTTTTTCCACATATGTAGCTTCATATTTATAACACCAAATCATTGGGTTTTTTTTATTAAAATAGAATAATATTATATACTCTTCTATAAAACTTGTGGAAATTCTCTCCCGTTGTGGAAATACCTCCAGGAAAACAGGAATAGAATTAAGTTTCTTTTCCATTGTTGTGAAGTATTTCATGGAATGGATATGGCTAGAAAGGATCTTAGATATATTTTTAGTAGCTTTCAAGCTGAATATGCAGGAGTCAGATTAGTGACCAGTGGGATTAGGAGTTACATTATCAAATTTCTTATCATTGGCCTATCCCTGATGGGGGCTAGAGAGAAAGTTTGGAGATACAAATCGTGCATACAGTTTCTTCAGGGAGTGCTGTAGGATAATGGAATACCCAGACAAGTGTGTGTTCGTGACAATATGTGCCTGTGAGTGGATGTTTTTGTGTGAGTAGAGGGAAGGAGTGGTGCTTTTAACCAATAAATAAAGCACTAGAGGATGCATGCAAAAGTCATGCCCTGAAGGAGTATCAAATTTAGATTCTGGAAAATAAGCCCAAAGTTGATCATTAATCAGGAGTTCTTGGTGAACAAAGAGTTCACAAGAACAAAGAGTTTCAATGGCAGAGCCACAGGGAAATCAGGAACCTGAATATCCACCAAGTGTGAGGAGCAGTGAGATTGGGCACGGAGATGTGCTCCAAAGGAACCCTGGAGAAAGTATCACCTCCTGTTGGGGACTTTTCCAGTACACACTTTTGCTGATTGCCCGAGATCAAGAGAAGACAGAGGACAGTGGCTGATTTAGAACTAGGTCCACAGATTCAAGAGAATCTCAACACCCAGCCACATCTCACACTGTTAGAATTTTAGATAAACCCAAGGATAAGTTTACTTTAAACCTGAGTCATTGGCTCTCAGGATTATGTTTGAAATTTGTTCTCAAAGCAACACAACATCACACAAACAACTTTCCATCTTTCTCCTGTCTGAATCAGTACTATTTTATGGAAATAAGTCCAGAGACTTTCTGGAATGATTTCTGATTTCTAACAATGATCAGAATCCAGTGACTCAATGAATTTAAAAGGTAACAGCTCCTGTTTCATATTGTCTCCTTTGCTAAATTTATATTAAAATATAAATAAAATATAAACACCATTTGTTAAGAAAGTAATGATAGAACTCGTTAACCATTTTTTTTAGCATTGAAAGTGAAATGATACAGTTTTTAAAAGCTCTGTCCTCCTAGCTGTAAAGCAGTCCTCTTCTCTGAGTAGCCTGTCCTGTTTTTCATTTCAGATCTCATTGAATTGAAGGGATTATGTACAATGGGAACACATAATTCTAGCTGCCCTGTTTCTTGTGAAGAAACAGAATATCCTGCTACTATATCTTATTCTACTTTTCCAAGCCAAAATGCTTTGAAATATCTTTCAAAGAAGTTAAATCAAAGTCAGGAATATATCAGGTAATCTTTTCAGTCTTATAAATCATTTGTAATCAAAATGAATATTGTATATACTCGAAACTTTTAAAGGCCAAGAAAACAAAATCTTGATCAGTCCAAGGAGGCATTGGCTTATGCCACTAAATTAATAATGGAAATTTAGCATGTCTTTCAATCCTTCAGTTCAATTGTGTGAAAGGTAAACTGAAGCCTGCTTGAGTAACTTGCTCAATTTGTTGACCAACTGGGGAAAAAGTTCTGGCTAATAGTAGTTGATGCTTTAAAATACAAACTACTGACTTGCATAGCAGATAGTTTGAATGTTTTAATAACTATAAGGTAATGAAGCACAAATTATTATTATCACTTTATAGGCAAGGAAACTGTATCTCAAGTAACTGTCCTGCAAAGGTAGTCAGTGGTGCAGAAAGAACTTACGCCTGAGACCAATGGCACTGGGTTCCACATATTTTTCCAGGAAGATATATATACTTCCAAGTTTGACTAACCGAGGATTGTATTAGGTCTCTTTCTGCTACACCATGCTGCCTCTTCAAAATTACGAGTCAAACTTCATAGAGAACTCTTTGTTTTAAAATAAGGAGCAACCTTAACACTTTTCTTTGTTTTTTACTTATATTTTTAAGCTGAGCACCTGAAACAGCAATATCGTACACGGGTGTTTGTACCTTTATGTTATACAAATGAATATGTATTAACTAATTAAAAACTGATTTACTTTTGCACAGCCAGGTATCTGACTTTGAAAGCACATTTTGATTTCACTTTTAGCCTGGTATTCATTGTCATGAAATAAAGTAGTCTCCCCATGTAAATGCCCAGATAGTAAAGTGATATTTAAAAGTCAGGAAGAAAAAGTACTTTCCTCAAGACAGGGTTGATAGGTATGATTTCAAACATTTAGCAGGTAAAAAGATGAAAGACAAGAACACTTGCGATTATTTCTTTGTTAACACTCTTTATCTGGTACAGAAGTCTCTTTGTATTCCATTTTAATATGGGAAAGTGATTTACTCATGGTATTATTTCTGTTATACATAAATATGACTGAGAAGTACAGTTTGTGTGCATTTTGGCTAATAGAGATCTCCTGAATTTCATCATTACGTAATATGCAGAGAATGTAGGCATGATTTTGGAGACAGACTGGTGAATCAGAAAAGGACCCATGTATAAAGGAGTTGATCTTGGAGAACATTGGTTTCTTTTCCCCCTAAAACTTAGATTATTATAAACGGCTCTGCAGTAGATCTTATCACATGACTGGCATGTGAGGACCTTACACAGTTGTGAATAGTAGAGGAATAAGGCAAGTAGCTGACCTGATGCAGCAGGATGCGGGGGTGTTCCAATCATAGAAGGAACTGGTGGTTGGAAGTCACACATATAATTAAGAAACTGGTTTGGGCACAGGTACCAGAAATCAAAGAGTAGTAAATCAAAAAAGACAAACGCAGTCTGTCATGAAAGCAGATGTGAAATCTTAGCAGCAGTAAGACTTGAGGCAAAGCAACCCCTAACTGAATCATGAAGAGTGTCGGTGTTTTTTCCAGGCACACAAACCAACCTCAGACCAATCCAGGTCAGTCTAGGGCCTCAGTTGCTGAACCACATTACAAAGATGATAGCAAGCTTAGCTTGACTGAGGCAGGCAGTCAGTATGGAAGTGAATATAAGGATGAATTTTGGCTGAATCTTGGCCAATTTCATTTGTAAAACAAGTGAAATTTTTAAATTGTTGTGTTTTGACCTAATAATTTTGCGAGCAAAAATTGCATGAAATCGTTTTATCCCAAACTAATCCATTCCCCTTAATATAGCACTCATACTCAACTAACTGGAAGTATTTATCATTTTGTAAATGCAATAAACAATTTTTCCTTGATCTCCTTGGCATTTTAAAATCCAAATATTTTATAATTGTGCCTCTCCTGACACAAACAGATATTCTTGGGCTTAAATCCTAAACAATTTCACTACAACATGAGGCATAGATTCAGTGAAACCTAAATTACTAGGCAAGTCGCCTGCCTGAGAGAAAGTGATTGGAAGTGGTTATGAGGTTTGTGCTTGGGAAATTAAACACTATTATCAGGGTACATGCAGATTAGGAGCACGATGGAGGACAAAAAGATTGCGGTATTACTAAATTACTGGACTTCCAAGACAACTTTATTATTTCCTTCACTTTCGCAACTGTTTTATTATTTGTAAATATGACAGTACCCCCTAATTATCCACTTAAACATAGTACATTCTCCTGTTACCCTGGGTTAAGCCAATAGAGATTAAGTAAACATATTAATAATATATTCAGAATTAAGTGTATTTGGGAGTATTGATTTCTAAAACTGTGAACAATTAGGAGAGTGATTTATAGCCATGTTCCTAAGATATATTAGAGGACACCATGTAGTTCTAGGAAACATTGCTAATAGGATTCATTCTAAATGACAACTATTGTTGCCATCTGAAAATCATCAGGTGGTTGGTTTCCACCTCAGTTTATACAGCAGATTACTGTTTACCCCTTCATTCACTGCTTTCATCTTCAATTTGTTCCTGTATTTTTTTCATTTTACAAATATATAATGGACACTTATTTTGTGTCAAGATTTGGGGTGTTGTAGGCGTTAAGGGTTCCTCAATGAACAAAAGACAAAAACCCTGTCTTGTGGCACTTACTTCCATTGGGGTGAAAATGAACAATAAATATGTATAGTCACGTCAGACAGTGCTAAGCGCTGTGGATAGAAAGGGATTGAAAAAGGGGCTGAGGAAGCTAAAGTCAGGGAGGATTGTTCTCAGGGTTGAGGACTGCAGTCAAGTCCTAGGAAGTTGATAGTCGAAGTCCTGGGAAGTCGAAGACCTAAAGCAGTGGCTCTCAAATGTTTTGATCTCAAGGTTCCTTTGCATTCTTAAAAGTTACTGAAGAAAAAAAAAAGTTACTGAAGAGTTTAATGAGTTTTTCTTTATGTGAGTTGTATCAATAGTTGTCACAATAGAAATTTAAACTATGAAAATGTTATATATTCATTTATTTAAAATGACAATAGTAAATGTACTATATATGGCAATATAGATAAAAGCTTTTTTTTTTATAGATTAAAGCTTTTTTCAGTATTTTCTGAAACAAAAAATAATTCAGGAAGAGGAGTGGTATTACTTTAGAATACTGTAAAATTTCTTCAGTTTCTGGCTTAACAAAAGACACCTGGATTCTCATTTTTGCATTTAATCTGTTGATTTATGTTATTGTGGTTAATGAATATAAAGAAAATCTTGGGTCAAACAGATATGTAGTTGGGAAAGAGAGATATATTTTAATAGTCTGTGTAGATATGTGACACTTTTCTTTGATAACACATCAAAACTCAGTAAGTGTAATTTCTTAAATGTTAATTGTAAATTGAATCTTGTGGTTGCCCCATGAGGAGTGGGACTGACTCTCCATTCAAAATTTGATTTGGATGTTGGGGCCTATGATGCCACAGATGCAGCAAGGGGGTATGAAAACAAATTCATTGGTCATGTAATGAGCCTCTGGGACCTCCCAAGCAGATCCTCTCTTGACTTGGAAGAATAAGGAGAGGCAACTGGCTTTGCCTTTCATTGTGGTCGTGACGTAGGACTGGGATGAGAGGTCTCATCCCAGGGTTTGAGCTTACCCAGGTGCCAGTGGAGAAAGTACATGGACTTTCTTATCAGCTTATCTCTTATGGGTCAAGAAGAGGGAAGGGTGGCATTTGAAAGCTGCCATTTGAAAGTAATGAAATGTCAAAACATATCAATGAAGTTTTCATACTTAAATATATTAAAATCTATTGATTTTGTACTTTCAATGGATCTTTCATTCATGAATGATTTTGAACATTTTTTGTGATCATTAGAAAAATTCTGTGAGTTGTGCAGATCTTCCAAATATTGATCCATTTTCTTATATAATATACATTTCGGGATCCCTGGGTGGCGCAGCGGTTTGGCGCCTGCCTTTGGCCCAGGGCGCGATCCTGGAGACCCGGGATCGAATCCCACGTCGGGCTCCCGGTGCATGGAGCCTGCTTCTCCCTCTGCCTGTGTCTCTGCCTCTCTCTCTCTCTCTCTGTGACTATCAAAAAATAAATAAAATAAAATAAAAATTTAAAAAAAAAAAATATACATTTCATTTTAATATCATTATTTATCAGAAGAGCCTTTAAAAGTTGGGAGTTGTCAAGCTCATCATAGTAGACAGAAATTTTCCAAAATTATAACTGTAACATAAAAGCTAAGCTTGAAATTTATTATTAGCTACAAATCATATCAGTTATTTCTCTTGAAGCAACAAGTCATTTTCTTCATTTTTGTGACAATATTTGTCAAATATAATAGCCTAAACAACTATAGTTTTCCAGTCATCCTTTCAAGTAAAAATGATGTTCCATGTAAACATGGTTACTGTAACTTTATTTAAATAACAATGACAGTGAAAATGTCACATACTATGTTTGTATATTATGAAAATAATTTTTATTTTTGTGGACCCCCAAAAAAGATATTGAGCACCCTTAAGCATCTGTGGCCACACTTTTAAAACTGCTAATGTAAAGGAGATATAAGAACTAGCCTCAGTAAATGGTAGGAGAACATTCCAGAAGGAGGGGAAATCAAATGCGGAGAGAGATCCTAAGCCAACAGCATGCTTCATGACTGGATAGAAAAGAATGGAGATTGGTGTGACAGGAAACACTGTAAGCAATGGCTAAGAGTGGTAGGAAATGAGACAGTTCAAAGTGAGATAGGTGGCAGAGGTAAGGTGATGGAGTTTTAGAGTATACTAGGACATATCTGGGGAGTTTTGAGCAAAAAAATGATACGATTTGCAAGTTGCAGAAGTATTATTTTAGTTATTGTGTGATGAAAAGACGATATGTATATATTGCAGAGAAATACATTAAAATTGAAAGTGGAAAGACCGATCAGAAAGCTATTGAAAAAATTGAGATGAGGGATAAGAGTTTAGGCAAAGGTAATAGCAGTGAATAGGGTGAGAGGTGGTTGGATTTTGTTATATATTTTTAAGGTAAAACTAATATCTATGCATGAACTTGGCTATATAGTGTTATTACATTATAAATAAAGAAATATCAGGAGCTTGGCTTGAATATGTTCAGTTTGAAATACCTATTGAATATTCAAGTAAAAATATGACAAGACAATTGGATATATTATGGAAGTTCAAAGTAAGGTCTAAGCTGGAGACAGAGAGTGAGAGGGTATCCAAGACTATCTGAAGAGTTATTTTAAAATAGCTTTTATTCACTCTAGTCTCATTTAAAAATTTCTAGAAAATATTAAGAAAGCAGAGTCTCTGCCTTAATATATTATTGATATAAAGTAAAAGACTACCATTTACTGAACATTCAGTATATACCAGATTCTGTGCCATTCTTTACACACGTTATTTAATTTCTCCTCATACAACTCTAAAATCCCCCCCTCTAAAATCCCTACTACAGATGAGGAAACAAGAGTCAGGAAGGCCATGCTGTTTCTCCAGGATCAAACCAGGACACAGATTTGAATTCAAATTACACACCCACTTAAATGTATATAAATATTCTAATCTACTTAATAGATATTTACATTTAATGGCTTTTTCCAATTTTCTCAGGAGTAGGGCATAGAAAAATGATTGGATCTTGAAAAAAATTCTTCTCTCTAAATACCAACATGACAAGTGTAACTTCCAAATGAAGCTTTGTGACCATAATGCTGTGTTTCATTCAACATTACATGACATTTGAATTAAAAATGAATATTACTTTAATCAAATAAGAATTAAAAGTAGTGCTGACAATCTTGAGCTAGATTAACTCTATTTTTATCCTCAGGGAGAATCTTGTGAACATTGAAATAAACTATAGTGACTTAAACTATAAGATAACTCAGCAGCAAAAAGCAGTGAGTGTGTCTGAGTTACTTGGTAAGTGTTCTTTAGTCATTTCTCAATTTTTAAGACATCTCCTATCAGATTTTCTTTTGTCCTTTTGTACTTAAGCTTTTAGCTTATCAATGAAGAAGAAGAGATAGTGGTTACCTTTCTTTTTTTATTATTTTTAAATTTTATTTAAATTCAATTACTTAACATATAATCTATTATTGGATTCAGAAGTAGAGGTCAGTGGTTCATCAGTCTCTTATAATACCCAGTGCTCCTTACATCACATGCTCTCCTCAATGTTCATCACCCAGTTACCCTGTTCCCCCAAACCCCTCCCCTCTAGCGACCCTCGGTTTGTTTCCTAAGATTAAAAGTCTCTTATGGATTGACTCTCACTTTGATTTCTTCTTGTTTTATTTTTTCCCTCTCTTCCCCTATGATCCTCTATTTTGTTTTCCTGAATTCCACATATGAGTGAGATTATATGGTAATTTTCTTTCTCTGATTGACCTATTTCACTTAGCATAATATCCTCTAGTTCCTTCCATGTCTTGGCAAGATTTCTTTTTTTTTTCTGATGGCTGAATAGAATATGATATATATATATATATATATATATATATATATATATCACATCTTCTTTATCCATTCATCCGTTGATGAAAATCTGGACTCCTTCTGTAGTTTGGCTACTGTGGACATTTGTGCTATAAATATTAGTGCTTGTCTTTCATCTGTCATTTAAATCTGACACTTTCAAAAAAAAAAAAATCTGACACTTTCCCACTCCTCAGACACACCTCCAGTAAACCTCACACCCATTTTCACAAAGAGGCTGACATTCATATCCACACCCAGCATCTTACTTTCCCTTCAGACACCACCCCCTTCCCCAGCAAATGACTACTGTTGAGTGTTTCAACAATCTTACCTCTGAGTAGAGTATCAGGCTTCTCAGACCTCCACCCAGACTGGGTTGAAGAGACTGAGCAAGCAAAATTCAACCTCTAAGTTACAACAATTGTCTGTTCACATCCTTAACAAATTTAATTGTTGATTTCCTAGATCTCATTTAAAATTTAGAGGAAGTCATATAGGAGACGATAGAGTCAGACACAGGCAAAATGACAGCAGTCACACACTGGCAGTTGAGCCCCTGAATGAGGAGGAAATATATAAATTCTTCAAAGCTCTAGGGGCAATTGACACTTGATTACCATGCTTTACAAAAATAGCATGATCCTAAAATGGCCCAGGGAAATGAGAATAAGATTCATAATGTAATCTGTTTAAGAAGTCAGTGCTCCAATAGTCAAATTCATAGAGACAAAAAGTTAGATGGTGGTTGCAAGGGGCTAGGGAGAGTGGGGGATTGGGGAGATTTTTTTTTAATGGGGTGTGGAGTTTCAGTTGGGAAAGATGAAGGAGTTCTGGAAATGGATGGTGGGGATGGTTGTTAAATGTGAAGTGTGAAGGTACTTAATACCACAGAACCATACACTTAAAATCTGTTAAAATGGTAAATTTTATGTCACATTTTACAACAAAAAAAGCACAAAGAAAAAAGACAAATATAGGTTTTTAAAATTTCTTAAACATAAAAATTTTAATTCAATATGTGTTAATATGTTGTTGGATGAAATATTACAAATGCTTAAAAAGAAATAGTTTTCCAAATTGCTTGGAATTTGTTGCTGGAAAACATCATCACTCAAGAAAGCCATCTGAAGGTTACATTTCTGTTCTTCATTCAACACATGGAAATGGATTTATAATTGTCTAGGATGTTTTAATAATTTGCCTAGATTTCATGTCTTCCTAAATCTTTGAGTTATATTTTTGGAAAGGTTTTATAATTGCTTTCTCTTTCTCTCTCTCTCTCTCCCCTGTCTCTTATTTAAGGCACTGGTTGGTTAATTCTTTCTCTATAACTTTTTCCTTTTGGGGATGATTTATATAAATATTATTTTAAGATATTATTAGTTGCCCATTACTTTATTCATACCAAACTTTTAAAATAATACAATTAACTTATCTTATGTAATATCAGTTACAATTGACTTATTAGCTTCAAATAATTTAAATTCTAGTAATGTTTAATTTGCTTTTTATTACAAAAATGATTCATTCAATTTTTGAGTTTTTGATTTTATTGCAGCAGATGTTGGCGGCCAGCTGGGCCTATTTTGTGGGGCCAGTATGATTACAATTATAGAAATTATTGAATATATATTCACCAATTTCTACTGGATATGCATTTTGTTCTTGCTGAAGATACCCAAAATGACACAGGGGGCTCCTCCACCTGGGCATCATCTGGAGAAGAGAAATCACATAGAAGAATGCTAATGTTCATGAGGGACAAAAGCTTTTGGTCTTCTTTTCATAATACCTTCAGATTTATTCATGACTAATTCATTGTTATATAACTTTAGCATATATATATATATATATATATATATATATATATATATATATATATATTAGGTACTGTCATGTTTTTTCACTATTGAATTCCCAGCACCTGTAACAGTAGAGATTGTGTAGTAGGCATTTTATAATTTTTTTTAATGAATGAGTGTGTAATGCAAAAAAGACATGCTTTATGACTGGATATGCAAATTGCACCTGGTAAATGAACTCTATGAGGAGACAAGATAATTATTTATTGAGAAACCAATATGTGTAATTTGTGCTTTCCAAAATTTCAGATAATCTTTATTTTCACTAAAATTCAACATAATTTTATTTTGTCTGGAGACTTCTACTGTCTATATAACTTTTGGAGAGGCAGGGATCTCTATTTCCTACTCAGGTGAATACCTAAAATAAATCTATTTAAAAACAAAGTTAAATTTATGGTATACTGGGAGCACATAGTATTTTGTCATTTCCTCCAAGTATCTCCATCTACTTATTTAACCTAGAGAGAAAATTCAAGATTTGCAGTGTTCCCATCTCCCTTTTGGAAAATCAACCTGTAATTTAGGCTCTCAGAATATTCAGTTGATGCTGAATTATTCAAAGGTCATGTCAAATACATTTAAGAAATAATTATCGAGTCATAAAATTCTCCCCCAAATTCATTCTAGTATTACTGGATCTTCTTTCCTCTCTGGCCACATGATAATAATTTTTGAAAAATCTTAAGGTGTTGTTTTCAAGTTTAATTATAAGCAAGTGTGAATGCCCTGGAAATGAAGCCAGTGCAATCAGACAGGACTCAGGCAAATGAGAAATATGTATACCTCATGACTTGGAAATCCCAACCATGATAAATACTTCATAGAAATTCTCTCACAGACATGTGACAGACTAGTTTCCTCATCTACATAGCAGTCAGTGTCTCCCCACTGTCAGCTGTGTGAGGACATGCTATGGAAGATAAAGCAGCAGAGAGACACTATGGATTAAATGTGATCACTCTCAAATATTAGTACACTGATAAATCTTAAAAATAAACTATTAGGTAGAAAAAAGCTTAAAGGGCACCTGGGTGGCTCAGTAGTTCAGCATCTGTCTTTAGCTCAAGTCATGATCTCAGGGTCCTGGGATCGAGCCCCCAGTTGGGCTCCCTGCTCAGGAAGGAGTCTACTCCTCACTCTCCCTCTGCCCCTCGCCTCTGCTCATGCTCTCTCACTGGCTCTCTCTGTGTCTTAAATGAGTAAGTAAAAAAATATTTTTAAAAAAGAATAAAGTTCCCTTTAAAAAAAAGAAAAAAGCTTAAATGCGTAAAACACTCCCAAAGGCTATCATGCAATAGTTCATGTAAATCAAATATGCATGCATACAGAACATATATATGTCTTAAGAGAACATGTACTTAAAAAGGAAACAAAAATATAGCATTAAATATTTACATAAAAAACACATTAGAAAGATTGCCTGTAGTGGAAGGGGGAATGAGAGGTGGGGAAATAGAACAAAATGAAATAAACAAGGTAAATAAACAGAAAATATAAGACGGATGAGAGTGCAATGTGAAAATTCACCCATTTCTCTGTCCTGTGGACCAAAAAAATTAGAATAAAATATTTGGCTGCAAAGCCATGTGTTTTGTTTTGTTTTGATGTTTGTGAAAAATCATTTGTTGTGTTAATATTAGTATGACTGAATCTCAGGCTTAATACAAGGCAGCTTCTCACTTTTAATTCTTCTTTGCTTCTCCAAATTTATTTAGCAAAACCTAGGAGATAGTATTCTTACTCTTTTTTCAACATGTTGAAAAAATTATTTAAATAATCTGTATTGTGAGTGAGTCATGGAAGAAGGATTTCATAAGTATTGTTGCATGCCTAACATAAAATGAGAAAGTAGCAGAATATAATCGGGATGCCTCCTATTTTTTGGACTTGATGAATCCTGAATTATAAGAAATTCTAAGTATTTCACATGACTTTCACTAACTTATCTTCCTATGCTTTAAAAATCACAAGTATATATTGTTTAATTTTTTTTTAATTTTTTTTATTTATTTACTTATGATAGTCACAGAGAGAGAGAGGCAGAGACACAGGCAGAGGGAGAAGCAGGCTCCATGCACCGGGAACCCGATGTGGGATTCGATCCCGGGTCTCCAGGATCGCGCCCTGGGCCAAAGGCAGGCGCCAAACCGCTGCGCCACCCAGGGATCCCGTATATATTGTTTAAAAACAATTAAATAAGGATTGTTATAATGAAAAAGGTAATTGATTAAGAACAGAGATTCTTAGAATGTAAGCTTCACTTCACTTAATTAATACCCAAAATCCAAGACTCTAGACTCGGGAACAATGCCAGTCAAGAGAATTGGGCAATGCAGAGCAACATAAGGAGTAGCTTTTGCATCCTTAAATCAATAGATCAGAATTACTTTGGGAAAACAATAAATATTATGGATTTCGTGAGGTTTTGATGCCTAACGGTTGTCATCATGACCTTGGTTTAGAGTAGCAAAAGCTCTAAAATAGATTGCCAGAGACCTATCTTATTCATAGACTTTGCATGATACAGCTTTGGAAAGTTGGAAAAATTGATTGAAAGAAAGAAGTTGAATGAAAGGGGAAATGATGGAAAATAGGAGGCTGCTGTTTCTGTTAATCACTCTTGTAAAAGTGAAATTACTGATGAGGAAAGGGAAAGAAAATGAAACACAAAACAAGGTAAAATCAAGACTGGTATACAAAACAAACAAACAAAATGGGCCTTATTTTTTGCCCAAAGTTCTAGTGGGAACTTGCCAAGATACAGTGCTCCCTCATGAGGCTACTTTATGACTATTACAAATTCACCATCTCCATACTATTCGGTAACAGGTCAGAGGAGAGCTGGACCATGGCTGAAAAGTACCATCAATTCCCTATGAATCTTTGCTATCTTCATTTCTTTGCTTAAATGATCAAGGGGAAAATAACTGAGTAGAAAACACAATGGAATGGAGGAGACTATTTGGGATGAGCATTAATCTTTGGTTAGTTGCCATGGTCAGCATCTGAACAATTTCCCAGAATTTTATTTTTATTTTTATTTTTATTTTTTTTAATTTCCCAGAATTTTAAATATACAAGTATTACTTCTTTGGGAATGGATGAAGGTGGGGATACAAAGAGTCTGTGCTTTGAAAGACAAAGTTACAGCTCTGTCACCTACAGAAAAAAATGGAGTGGTTCTGAAGCATTTGAAATATGGGTATGAGCAACCCTAGGCTTGTAACACTATAACCGATAATGAGCCATCCTCCAGTGATACAACCCTGGGGTAAATAATATTGGAAGTCGGGATCCCTGGGTGGCGTAGCGGTTTGGCGCCTGCCTTTGGCCTAGGGCACGATCCTGGAGACCCGGGATCGAATCCCATGTCGGGCTCCCAGTGCATGGAGCCTGCTTCTGCCTCTGCCTGTGTCTCTGCCTCTCTCTCTCTCTGTGTGTGTGACTATCATAAATTAAAAAAAAAAAGAATAATATTGGAAGTCAATAAAGGTTTGGGCCCCTTACATAGCCCTCCTGTTAAGAGGAGACAGGGTCATATAGGAACTCAACTGAAGCTGTGAAGGTGAATACCCAAAAACCTGAAAGAACCACTGGGAGCGTGCATCGGTGCTGCAGGGGATGACATTATTGCTAACAAGAAACTGCAGATTGGAGAGCAAAAAAGAAAAAAAAAAAACATTTTGTTGTGGCTTTACCTATACTTGAACCCATAGTTCCCAAGTAATGGGAATGGACCCATTCCACATTATGCGGCTCACCTGGGACTACCTGGAAGTGCTGGCCCACTGCCTGTAGTAGCGATAATTCCATAATCTTTACATTCCTAATGGTACATTTTCTTGGAAATGGACAAAAGGGAACACTATTGGAAGGCTATTTCTGCTACTTGCCTGTGAGGCGATGCTATGGGGGAATCTGAAACTCTCACCTAGAGAGGGCAAGTCTGTGTTAAGACAGGTAAAAAAAAAAAAAAAAAATGGATAGGTAGAAACCGTGCAAGATGGGAAAGCAGCACATAAATGACAAGTAACATTGGGAAAGAATACCACCATTTTATTCCCTGAGAGGCAGCCTCAAAACAAGGGTCCTATGCTCATTTGCTTTCCTCTGAGAGAGAAAAGTGGCCTGATGCCAAACTATAAAGTTGACCCAATAATGCTATTTGAGGTACTTGAAGAAAAGATATGAACTGGCGTCCCTTGGAGGCCTGCCTGTTTTTCGAGTGAGTTGGAATTATCCAACTTTGGGTCTTGTTTTTTGAGTCATGTTTATCCTATTCATACTTTTGTATAGCCATAAATCAGTAATGATTCACCCAAAGAATCTTCAGGAAGGACTGAAACTGGAAGTGGAGTATTTTTAACTCCCATTCTCTAGGGAGCACTATTCATGGAGGTGCATAAAATACAGCAGGTAGAAAGTAGCAACAGCACTTATGGAGCTTAGCCAGCATTGTCTCACTATCCTGAGACTCGGTGCCTGAGAAACAGGATTTGCTGTGTGGAGCCAAGTGATTTAGGTGTTATCAGAGGCTGCCTGGCCTGGAGAGGTAATGTATAGAAACGAAAGACTACAGAGATTTCTAAACCAATGGAGCATAATACTGGCTAACCATCCTGAGAAAGGGCTTGTATCCTTAATCAAGAAGGATTTGGCTATTAGGAAACCTCGTGTATTAAAAGTTCAGTGGCATAAAAAGAAATGAGCTATCAAGCCTTCAAAAGACATGACGGAAACTCAAGTGCATATTGTTAAGTAAAAGGAGCCAGTCTGAAAAGACAACATACTGTGTGATTCCAACCATATGACCTTCTGGAAAAGGCAAAACCCTGAAAACAGTAAAAAGAAAAATCAGTGGTTGACAGGGCTCCAGGAGAGAGA